TAGAGGAGAAAGGAGACTTGAACATTTTTCAAGTCATCATAACAAAAAATTGTAAGCAAAAGTTTTGAATCTCATCGATGCCGTGTTAAGTCAGAAAAGTCAGAAATCCTCTCCTACCACACATAGGGGTGCAATCAACGAGTATGCAATTAGGAAGAAAAAGTAGAAAAAAATGTACGATGAATGAGGAAGTTAATAAATATTTTTCTGTATTTTTTTTTGATGTTTGTGGTATTTGTTAGCTGTTTATATGTATACTTTGTGGTGATTTCTCATCTTAACTAAATATTCACCTATATCTATTACTTATAATGTTTTATTCTATTAAAGAGGGCCCCCATAATTATATAATCTTATGTAATCTGCCCCTGCCAATGCAGGATTTAAATGTGCACTAACTAATTAGACTCTTCACTGAATCTTGGTGACAGGAGGGAGGAGGAAGAATCCAGACAGGTGGACTGCCAGGGGAGTGGCTTCGAAACTGGACCAGGACATGGGCTCTCTTGCTCTGGTGTAAGCAGGGCCGGTCCCACGTGTTGTCTTGGTCCCCATGCCTGACTCATATTGTCGTCTTTTTTCAAAAGGCCAGTCTAATGAACAGGTAGCTGTCAGCACTACAAAGGAGGGAAGACTACCCCACAGGCTACCACATCTCTTCTCCACCTCCTGTGGTGGCCTAAAGTATTAGAACTAGAGGCACATTCCTTTGGGTTTGGTAAGTTTTTTAGTGTTTGAGAATAAAATTAAAAGCAAATATTTTACAAACAATTTCATCGTAAGTCAATATTAAATATCCCTCAGTCCCGAGGTTTAGGAATGTTGATGAGGACGATTATGATAACCTACCAATTTTGAACATTTACTATGCCTCAGGCAATGTGCTGCACAGTGTAATGTGTGGCATCTCAGTCAATCCTGCAACAGGAGGAAACTGAAGTTTGTAGGGTGTCATGCAGCTCTAAGTGACTAACAAGAGATTAAGGCACAAAAATAGTTAAATGACAAATTATGAGGCAAAGGCTTTAAAATTTCAGGTATTTCCCAATTATGCCTTGGGCTGGTCCTTCCCTTTGCTGTTTTCCTCAACTCTAGTAAAATGCTGATCACTACTTCTCTTAATCACAAGGAACAGAGTAGAATATATATGTGGGGTTTAAAAAATTAACCCCTAGGCAATGAAAATATGTTTTCTTCAGCATAAGAAACAAAATTGGTATTAAACACCAAACGACACCTGGATTGCAGAAAAAAAATCAATTACCAAGGGGGAAAAGGTTTGCAAGACAGCTAGAGCTAGGCAGTTAAACATTAGCATTCAATGGTTTGAAGTGTTTGGGTTTTGCAATGGTGTGGTTTGGAAGCTTTCCAGCAGAAAAGCTATTTTATTTTAAGAGGATAACTCTCTGCAACATTTTCTTTGCTGAAATAATGTGATCCTTAATGACGTCTTATATGACCCAAACTTTAAATAGACCCTATTATTTTAGCTGACCTCATTCTAACCAGGTTTTTACCGGTCAGCCATGAACTATCAACAGCTTCCTGATAATTAATCCTACTTGCCCAAATAACTGTTAGCCTGTTAGCCTTATCTATGCTAAGAGGAAGCTTTTCTATGCACCAGACTTCCTCAGTGAATAAAACACAAACTGAAATTCTGCAGAAAGGGCCAACATTGTGAGGTTTGAGAATGAAGAAACAGATTGAAGATTACGATGCTGCCCTGTCTTCAGCTCCTTACTTGCTGAAATTCTGTGGTTCATCTGGCACAGGAATGGCTTTACAGTAGAGTCAGCAGCACAACTGCTCAGATCAGGAGTGGTTCTCTGGATGACTATCAAGATGCATGGACGACAACAACATACGCAGTTACCTGAGTGGTCTGGATTGCTCTAAGAAGCAATGGGGGAAGATATCTCAAGTAGCCACTAGAGTTGTTTCCACTAGGGTTTAATTTTGTGCCATTAGAGGCTCATTCTTTTGACTCTGAAGAGCTCTAAGATTCTACTAGGAAAATACAGCTGCAGCCTTTGGTTGTCACCTACTCAAATGCAAGACTGGTGTTTGATAAAAGGAGGGAAAAGAGGCATGCTGTTATAACTGATGCTGTCAGGACTCCAGGAAGAAGAAAGGTGATGAAATAACAAAATTGCTTTCTTCATTTGGTGAAGGGAGTAAGGAGCTCATGCTGGTCCCATCTAGCAATTTGTAAATGGGTTGTTTGAACATATGGGTCTTAACATGTTCATAGATTGTGGGTGTGTGTTTGTGTGTGTAAAATGAAAAGGCTTATTATTAGATGTAGCCTTTTGTCAGCATAGTATAAAGTTCCTCAGGTAAGGGCATGCTTTGTAATTAAAGGATTTCTGCATCTGCTAATTGCCCATGACATGTACCTTTTCTTTCCAAGTCACATTTCTGATTTTCAATGATGATTTATTACTAACCTGTTTTCTCATCATGTTAAAAGCATATCCCAAATAGTTTAAATCCAATGTGCTCCAGTACATATAAAGAGACTTATTAAGATGATCTTTTCTAAGAAAGGTGATTGTATCTTACATTATACAAAACAAAACATAAACATGACATATAGTCCAGTGCACTGTGCATTTTCATTTCTCACTGTGGCAATGATGTGAATTTTTGGACACGTTTATGGTGGTGACTTTATACATTAAACTGAGCAGAGACCAGATTGCATTGTGAAGTTTAGCAAAGCTAGAATTGAAAACTCAGAAGCCCAAGAAACATTCTTCAGAAGGAATGAAGACTGAGTAGATGTAGGATTTAATATTTCCTGCATGGTTTGGAAATATTCTGGATTTGTTTCTAAACTTTGCTAGACATATGTCAATGACTCAGAAAAGTCATGCTCAACAGAGAGGTGAGAGAATGACCTACTGGTGACCATCAGGTTATGTTTCAATTTTTAAAATATGTATCCTTCAGAGAAAAAATGGCCGGTTACATGTCATTTTCCAATGTTAATGGTTCAATTTTACTAGATTTTTACTATGCTCAAGTTATTATAATTTTTTTTAAAGAATAGGTGGAACATAAACATAAGAATGTGAAACTTAAAATACATCACAGGACTCTGTTTCCTCTTTTTTTTTATGTCTCCTTTTAGGTGACCTCTTCCATTTCCATGTATCTGAAGACATCTTTACCTTCTTTCTTTTACCATCACCACTTTAGTCTAGGCCAGTGCCTTTTTGATCACTATGAAGAATAACAAAATCACTTCACAATATAATCCAGTACTTGCAAATGCATGCCTATATGCACAAAAATTTGAGAGGAACTGTTATGAAATGATGTGGTGGTCTCTGATATTTTCTTTCTTTCTTTTTTTTTTTTTTTTGACAGAGTCTCGCACTATTGCCCAGGCTGGCGTGTAGTGGTGGGATCTTGGCTGACTACAACCTCCACCTCCCGTGTTCAAGTGATTCTCGTGTCTCAGCCTCCCAAGTAGCTGGGATTACAGGTGCCTGCCATCATGCCTAGCCAACTTTTGTGTTTTTAGTAGAGGTGGGGTTTTGCCATGTTGACCAGGTTAGTCTCAAACTCCTGGCCTCAAGTGATCCACCTGCCTTGGCCTCCCAAAGTGCTAAGATTACAGGTGTGAGCCACTGTGCCTGGCTGATTTTTTCTATTGTACATTATTCTCTTTCAATGATATTGTGTGTTAAGACCACTAAAATGACTGTATAACACTGATGGGTTGTGACCTATAGTTTAGATAGCAGTAATATAAAATAGCATCACCATTTGCCCAGATATCTGCAGCAGTCTATTAACCCGTTTCTCTTCTATTTTTCCCTCATGAATTCCCCATACGGCAGCAAAAAGGATCTCAAAAGATCAATCCAATCATGCAACTCTCCTGCTCAAAGCCTTCAATAGCTTCTTACACTTACACAAAAAAATCTAAACTCTTTCAAACTCCTCACCACACCTACATGATCTGACCTTTGACATTCTGATCAGCCTAATCTCATGCCATCTCTCCCTTCCTCTGCGTGCTCTGGTTCCACGGAACACATTTCAGTTCCTCCGGTACAAGAGATTCTTGCCTGCCTGGGTACAAATTGCTCCCTCTGCCAGGAACACTCTTTCCCCAATTTCTCATGACTGGCTGGTGTTTACTCTTTAGTCTGGTCTTATTTTCTCTACAAAGACACCTTTTTTAACCATCCCAGTTACAGTGGATCATTCCTTCCTATTTTTTATGTCAACCCATTGTTTGAACACTTACACTTGGAAAGATGGAAAGAAAATATCACAGCTAGAAAACTGACCAAATAACAGGCAGGATGGGGGTGGGTAGAGGGCTCACAGCAAGAGATAGTGGAGTCTTTTAGGGCTGGATGTGTTCATCTTAGGATTAAGGACTTAAAACTTTGGAACTATGACTTTGCACAATGTATCTTGCCTATAATGCCTGCCTTTTCATTTTTGTGTAATATCAAATTGTATTAATTTAGAAAATTCTACATGCCTCTACTTTGCTAAGAAGGATGAAGGAAAGAAAGGGTTTGGTTACACATATGCTCACAATTTTTTTTTTTTTTTTTTTTTTTTTTTGACAGGAAGTACTGTTGAGCCTAAGAGGCGACAGAACAGTGGAAGCCTTCCTGAGTGCAGGGCCTGCCACTTGTTCAGGAGCCATGACTGGGGATGCTTTTGACCCCACAGCCATCTGAGATAAGCCACTTCTCAACTACCATGTCTTCAGATTCATCCACATGAAACTTGATAGAGCCCCATTTCTTTGAGATGTGGCCAGGCAACTTGAACTTGGTCCTGTGTAGGAACTCAATCACATGCTCCTTGTTCTGCACCTTGGTATGGATGGACATGATGACTTGGCCAATGTAAATTGTGGCCATGGTACTCTGGGGCTTTCCAGAGATACCCTTCACACCTGTTTGGAGCCTACACTGGGAACAGTGTAAGGTCAAAGGTCGGAGACATAAACATAGATTGGAAACGGCTGTCTCCTATGTTCTTTAGAGCAACCCATATAAGAAACAAGCTATGTATATGACAAAGGAGGCTTTGTTTGTAGCCATTACACCGAGCCCCTGTGAGGAAAGGAGTGCAGCTGGCTTAATTGACTGCAGAAGATGAATAATTTTAAAAGTCTGCTGAGTCCCAGAATTTGGGGTGACAGTGGTAATCAGAGTGACAGAACTCTAGAGAAAGGCAGTATTCATAGAAAAGAGTCAGAGGTTGCTGGTGGGGTCAGCTCCCACTAGCTGGAGGTTCTTTTCTTGATTCAGAACTCACAGAGTTTTATGTGGTGATTTAATAAGAAAGATGTTTCCATCCTTGAACCATCCCTTCTCTAGCTTGGAGGTCCTTCCTGTGCTATAAAGATCACAGATAATTTGCTGGCTTTGTACAAGGGCAGTACTGTTGAAAGGGACCTGCAAGCTTCTTTGTCCTAGGGACTAAAAGTCCCTATTTTTGCCCCAGCAGTTCCAAATCTATAAACAGATATTTTCACATGGTATCACTCCTCACCAGTTGCCAGTTGGAGGATGGAGATGCAGGATATAATAGTTGTTTCTGAGTTCAGGTAGAACTTGGAATCAGCCAAATTTGCCTTAGGCTCAAACTGTATGCCCTGAGAGATAACTCCCACAGTCTTAAGATTGAGAACATCATTTGAACTCCCATAGGCCTGATGCCTAGAAGGAGAGCAACCTGGTTTTTGCCCCTTCTTCTGCCTTTGCTGGTCTCTATGCCTAAGCATCACATTCTATCCAGCTCCTGCAGATGAGTTAGCTGGCCTGAGTGCCTGCAAAGGACCAGGCATTCTCTAAGGCATATTTTACATGTTGCAAGGCATATTTAGCATTCTCTAAGGCATACTCTAAGGCATATTTACATATTTACATTCATCTAATACTGGCCATTCTGTTTTTCCAGTCTGGTCTTCCTTCACAATGTTGGGTTTATCCCTTCTCAGCTCAGCACTAAAGGAGTGTTTCTTCAAAGCTCTAACATGTACTGTAGGTGCTGCTCCCAATGGTTCCCATCTTTCTGATTCCTTATAATTCCTCAGTAATGATTTGTGCTAACTATTTTTACTTTTTTTCCCCTGAGTCTCAACCTTGAAGAGTTTACTGTGGCCACTTGAAATTAAGTATGGGCTGTTTTTAATGGGACTAATTGTTATAAGTTCTCATAGGAAGAATCAATTTCAAGAATGAGAAAAAAAATCCATCCTCAGGGTTCCTACATCCTACCCTCGGCCTCATGATTTAATCACTTCATTTTAGAATAATGCACTCAGCTGTTTCCACATCAGCCACTGACTTTCCCCAAGAAACAAATAATAAGGAAGATGTGGCCTTAACTAAGATAGCCTTGCCATAGGTTAAAGGATCATGGACAGCTGATTTCTAGTGCCTTTAGATCATTGGAACAAAGTCAATTTCTTCCTCAGACCAGTTTGCTTTGATTTGCAATTTATTATAAACAAAATGAACTGGCTAGTTTGGGACTTGGGTCTGAACTATTACCTAAATCCTGACTAATCATAGTTTGTGAGGTGCTGCAACAAATGCCTGCCTCTGTCTCTTTCATTCTTTTTCTTTCTCTTCCTCTCTCTTCTTCTTTTTTTTTTTTTTTTTTTATTTTTTTTGTTTTAAGAATATCTTTTTCTGGAACAATGAAGCAGATAAGAAATACAGGAAACCATAGAGAGTTAAATAGCATTTATGGAATTGTGAGGATCATCTACTGACAGTAAGAGCAGTAACACAGAAACAGACTTCAACTGGCAAGAAACAGCAGGTCACTGCCTGCAGAGGTTGACCAGCTCAGAAACTTGACTGTTTCATGTGTTTGGGTAATGTAATCAAACACAGATGCTGAACCAACTTATGCTCTAATGACATTATATTTGATATCTTCTACTTAATTGTAATTAAATTTCAATTTCCTAGATCAATTAAATATATTAAAATATTTTATGGGCATTTATTAGCCTAAACTGATTTTTAAAAACCACACAGTGGCGTCAGGAGGGTTCTGTGTTTGAGAAGGCCACAATGCTTTACATTTCAATTTTACAAAATTAACATTATGGTCGGCTTTCAACTAGGTATGCAAAGGTCTTCAATTTTAAGTGGAAGAATGTCTGTGGGTGTGTGAGTATTGAATGAATTTCTTATATTTAATTTATGCTATAACTTAATAGCCAATAGACAATAAGAAATGTTGCTGTCAAAGAGGCTTTTATGGGAATGAACTGGAGAAAGAAGCATAATTCTATACAATGGATGGAAGAGCACCATACATCTCAGATTTCTGAAGATGTAAAGAGATTTCAAATAGAGTGTCCCTTTGTCCTTATAAGCATATTAGTTGTTAGACCACATACTGTGATTTTTGATTTAGGATACATATTGACTATACTTAAATGTCCTAAAAGTGTAATAAGAACAAAAGTCTTAGTCAAAATGTATATATGCTTATTGTTGTAGAATTTGAGTAAGTAGTAACATAACATCCTCAGAAAAGGAAATGGTATGTTTTTAATTCAGTGTCCCATGTATGAGAGCACAATTTGCAATCTAAAATTGGTTAATTTTCATATATCACTTGATTAAAAAACAGAATAGTGGTGGAAGCTTCTGGAGTATTCCCAGAAGCATTAAAAGATAAACAATAGATGGACAAGTGAAATCTGCAATAAAATTCCATTAATCATATGTAGCTGAGGCTTTAGAAGTGAGTCATCAAATAATCTCTGAAAACTTTGAGGATATTTACTAAAATTTTAAAGCTGACTATATTCCAACTGAAAATGTTATCCTCCTAAGTTAAAAGAGAACTTTTATCCGACACACAGAACATATCTAGGTTATTTAATCTATATTATTTGCTAGGTGATTTTTAAATAACCATATTTACTAGACCTAAAGGATTTATAGTAGGTGTCTGTTGCAGTGGTGATGGCACTAGATTGATTCAACAGTCATTTATTTGTATTAATGAATAGGAAATGAGAAAGAAGATTTGTGAAATAACAAATAATCTAGGGGAGTTAATGAGCACATGTGCGTACACATACTCTAACTTCCCAAGGAGGCTATGTTGTACAGTGCTCTCCCCCACCCACCTTCAAATCTGCAGCCCACAGGTAGAGAGAGGGGGCCATGCCCTATATTAGGAGTTGAGGGGAGTCAAAGGCCAGGGTTACTCATGTTTTAGTGCAGTATAAAGTGCCGTCTGTAAAGCCTCTGGGTAATTTGATCAATGCAGGCATTCAAAATCTATAATGCGAGTTCCAGAGTAAATGTTTCGATCAACTTGATCTTTAATTAAATTTAGAAGAAAACTAAAATTTCCATTTTAGTTGAGTAAAAACAAGAAGTTTAGCTAGATATCTGGCTGTTAAATATGATGTATATAAAACATCTAAATAATTAGTTTGTTTTTCAATTTTTGAATTCAAATGTCTGCTATCTTTAGACTCAAAGTGGATTAAGAATTAGTCATGATAATTCAATTTCTTTGATTTATGAAGAATGTGTGACTCAAAATAATGACCGATCCAATCTGTAAAGGGTAATTACTTTTATGTCGGAAATAGTCTTATGTCATTCCGGCACTTGGTCTAGAGTTATGTGTGTGTGTGTGTGTGTGTGTGTGTATACACACACATATATATATAGAAATACAATACAATGTACTACAAAAACATAATTCAAATATTATGGTAGTATATTTATTCAAATGATTTCCATGATTCCACAAATTTAGATGGCAATTACAGAGCTTCTAAATTTAGTATATAAAAATGATGCTAGAAAAATGGGTACCTACCATTTTTAAACATCTCTTTGAAATGTTAAACTCTCATATAAAAATCATAATAGTATGCATAATAACTAAAGTGAAATATACTATTCTTAACATTATCATTTACTTTTAAGATAGTGAATTAAAAATACACTATTCTGCACTACTCTGAGCATGGACTAGACTTAATCTCCAAGTATTTCTAGCTCTCTAGAGTATACAAGGTGCCTGTCTCATGTCTGAGCACTTTGACCTCGACAAGCCCTGTAACCCACAGAACACAGATAATGTTCCAAGACAAGTCCAGACTTGTAGAAGACATAGACAAGTCATAAGTGTTTGCAAGAAACATTTCTTTTTTAAAACACAGCAACACAATCCATATCTAGTCAGTGTGAGGCTGACGAACTACTGCTCACAAAGATCTCACAATAAGTAAACAGAGTGGAATCTGGTTGCTAAGTTAATTCCAGTGAATTACAAAATAAAAAAAAGTCTTTGGAATTTCAATGGAAATTGGGGAGAAATTGTTGGGCAAAGAATCTTGAGTGCCATATATTTTTTCCCTTTCTATTATTTAAACAAGAGTTTATGTTAAGAATATCACTTTTATGCTAATCAATTATTCACTTCCATAAGTAATTATGAATTTCAAAACCTAGAGGGCAGTTCTATTACCCTTTAGGGATATCTTACTTATCTAAACTATCAATATTCAGCCTTCTTAATCATGTGTCAATCCAAATTCTCTTTTATTTCCCAGCTCCCCTGCAGGAGTTGTAGTTTATTGGAAACTGTTATCTTCCAGTTGGACACTTTCATGGTTCAAATATCAATAACCTTTATAGCTTTTGTTCTCCTCTACACCTTCTTGGCTAATGCCTAATTTACTAGCATCTTTAAACCTTTTCTTTTGTTAGGAAAGAAAACTTGAATTTCTTTTATTCCATATTACCAGAATAAATTCTGGCATTTTAGTGTAATTTCCTACAGAAAGTCTACAACTAGTTTCCACATTTACACTTAACAATCCCAGGGTTTTTCAGGTAGTCATATTTTTCTTCCTAGAGTCTGGTTTGAACAGTTCTTTTTTAAGTATTTTAAAAATGTCCATTATCCGAGTAGCTTCAAGAGAAACTTTAGTTATTATGTTTTGTTCAGTTTTTCAGACTTTCTAAGACTATGTGTTTTTTGGTTGCTTATCACATTCCATAGTAATTTCTCCCAAACATCAAGATAACATTAGTTGTACTATTTAATTTGTAATTTGTTTGGCAACAGATAATTTTGAGGTCAGGAAAGGAAG